AAAAAAAAAAAAAAAAAAAAAGCCTTCCAACTTGACACTGCATCTAAACATTTATGTACTGACTGTCCATTTAATACCCATCAAGAGATGCCATAACCTCATATGACAAGGCTTAGAGAAAACATGCAGAGTCCTAATGAGAAAACACTATCAACCTACTGGGAGGTCAGAGGACCAAGCAGATCTTTTGCTGGGTGATGCTGAGTTATGTCCAGGAAATAAATGGCAGTTCTAGTTGAGTGTTGGAGCTTCTTTTGAAAATGCACCACTCAGCATGGAGCCTGCCTGGGTTAAAGCTGCAAGGGATGCTAGAGGGGGATTGGAACTTGTGAGACACCTTTATTATACAGCCTGTACAGCCATATAGATACCTGAGCAGTACTCAGTAAGATTCCGGTACTGACCATTTGCAAAAATAGGTCCCCAAACCAAACCACTGATTCCAAGTCCACTGGCCTTTGGGATAATTAAGACCCAGAGCCAGACTGAAGAACTTGGGTCCATTCCTAGCTGCATGCCATTACTAAGCACATTTGTCTTCAGGAGGAATTGATATGTTGCCAGCCATCACTCAGCTGAATTCATTATGCAAACACTCATTGTCCTAGGGCCATTTAGGAAACAGTTATTTCCATCAAGTTACAGACTTGGCCATTTCTTTTTCCTGAAGAGCAAAGGAATGCTTTTAAGCTTTGTCTTCAAGTTAACTGCCTTGATCAGTAATCAGTGTGTTACCACCCCAAATCAGATGTTTTTTACTACACTGATGGGGTTCACTGCTGTCCAGGTTTTCCCTTCTGGAAATGAACTCACTGAGTTACTTCTCCACAGGAAGCCATCTACCTCTGGAATCTGGATGCAAATTGCATGAGCTCACCCTGTCTACCACCTCACAATGCAGGGTCAGGCACTGTAGAAAAACACAGAATCCCTCATGTCCCAACAATCAGATACTGCACTGGGCTGATAAGGGAACTCAAATGAGAGAAAGTGCCAGAGGAAATAACTACTATAAGACAGAATATGGCTGTTACATTCATCAGGAATCTACAGGCTTGGCTTTCCTCCATTTCTCTTTGTAAGGTTCAGCGTAAACGTTCATCAGAGCATTCAGCCTTCTCTGTACTAAACTTTTAAATATATTATTTCCCACAGTTGCAGCTCCACGAGTAGAAGCACTAAAATAGTATGACCACTACTGTTTTAGTTACCGTGGTGTCTAGAGTTGCTCAGAGCCAAATGTCATAGTTGCATATAGGCTGAAATATGAAAGGCAACTAAGGCGGCTCTGGGAAAGCAGAAACTTATAAAAAGTATGCATGTTCAATCGTGCACTTGCACACCTTTGAAAATTTATCTCCCAGTATTAAAAATGATCCTCTAGACTTGACAGGAATTTGGTAGGACTCAGCTAGGCCCAGACAACAAATGGGCAAGAAGCATCAACAGTTAAGAGAGTCAGCATACCGTTAGTCATATTAATTGTACAATCAATACTGTCACTATTCCAAAACTGCACTTTGCTAATAATATCTAATACTTCATACTTATTCCCTAAAAGGGCTTTAACACTGCACATGAGTTTATGGCAGAACTGGGAACAAAACCTAATTCTTCTGGTTAACCGGTTCCTCCTGTACTCGCTAATCTGCAGCCTTCACTATATAAAGAAAGCCAGCCAAAACAAGTCAGCCATGTAGGATCAGTCAGAACTGCATGGGTTTGTTACCTGCCCAGAGGGATCGCAAAGTAGAAGACAGACAGCATGAGGGTCCTGGTGTTTTTGGTAAAAAGGTCTCCTATGATGGTGGGAGCGATGGTGGAGTAACTGGCTTCACCAATGCCAACCAAACCTCGTGAGAGGACAAGGAGCCAGAAGTACTAAGAGAAGAAGAAAAAGAAAAGATTAATACATGACCCTGATCGTCAAGCCTTCAAAGTGGTTGATAATGAAACAGTCCAGCAAGAAAAACGTATCTCCACGTGACCAGAATGTAACACTTGCCCCTCTTTTCCCCTCGGTCTGCTGCCATTGGTTTTCCAGTGATGTGTTTGTAGTGATTTATACGTATGAAGAGCAATAAATCCTTCTCTTAACATGCATCTCGGAAGATGGTCTAATCCTGATGTGTTTTTCACTAGCAAAAATACTTTGGCGGCCACGTTGGGTAAAAAATGGGAAACAGATTCTCATTTCATTCTCAGGGTGAGCTTCAACCTCATGCAATTAATGGCTCACTAGAAAGGCAGTTTTGAGTGGAGTTGAACTATAACAACCTTTATATTCAGAGGTTTTAAATGATAAGCATAACTCCTCTTTATCAGAGTTCCCACAGCACAGTGAGTGACAAGTTAATATTGGCGCAACTTGACGGGCTCTTCAAGGTTATAGAAGAACCAATTTCCCTAAATTCAAGCAGAATTAAGTTAACCAAAATTTTCCTAGATCAGAATTTCTGTATTTTAGAGGTGCTTCTAATTCAGACAATGGACAGGCTTAGCAGCAGGTTTGGAGATGACAGGCTGAGGACCAGGTATGCGGGGATGCACAGGGGAAGGACTTTCAAAAGCATTAACCACTATTTGAACTCTGCTCTCACTGCAGTCAGTGCAAGCCACAGCAGTCAAGGAAGAAGGCCTCGTCTGACACTGAACACTTCCAAAGAATTTCACCTTAGTAATTCAGGTAAAATGCAAACACTGATGATGAAGTAAAACTCAAGCTCGCTGGTAAAGTTGGCAAATGGCCCCAGGAACATTGGCCAGCTCAGAAAGCAGACACTGTAGCTGTTTAGAGACAAAAATGAGGCATTCACTAACAGCCACTGCCATGGCACATCATGCACCAGTGTAAAGTTAGGTACTGATATCACTCGGGGGGGTGGGAGAGCAATCTCCAGGTGCTGGAAGTGAGCAAAGATCCAATGTGCCAGAATATATGTTGGAACAGGGGCAGCAAATTCAAATCTGGTAAATCCAATATGGAGGATAAAAGGAAGAAAAAAAGAGAAAAAGGAATTATGTAATTATTCAAATGTAATACTCATTTTGACATTGGTTCTTAAACTCTTAGGGCCTGATTTTCAAGTCAGCCTCTCTCTCTGCACTTACAGTTTCCTAGGTGTCACTGTCTGAAGGCATTGCTCATACCACTTCCATATCTACCTGAAGCACTAGCACAACTGAGCAGTTAGACAGCAAAACAACATAGGCTAGGCCTAGAAATAACTTGCAGGTTCAGAAATAATTTATTAATCATTTAGTTAACTGCAGCAGCAAATTATGAGCAGGAAGAAAAAGGGCTCAGAGAGGCCAAACTTAAAACTCAAAACCTTTCAGTCTCCCAGAAACTGTCTCTGTTCTTATCCCTTAGGTCACTCAGATGGAGCTGTACAGGTAACATTAAGCTCTTAAATGTGAAAACGCTTTACAAAGGTGGGAAGTGCTGTTCATCTCTGGTTACAAAGGAGAGAAACTGAGGTGGTGAAAGAGTAAGTGACTTGACACTTGAGGTCATATAATAAGTCTAAGGAGGTTTCCTGAGGTCCTGTCCCACAAGCCAACCAAGCACTGTAGTCAACAAGCCACAGGTACATAGGCTGGCAAACAATTTACATCTTTTCCAAAGAACTCCACTTTGTGTGCATTGACCATTTTCGTACTGGAAGTCCCAGGGTGAGGAACCATTTGTCATGTTTCCTCTAAACCAGGGGTGGGCAAAATATGGCCCACGGGTCAGATCCAGCCCACCAGGCACTTTCATCACGGAGCTCAGCTGGGCAGGGTGTGCATGTGAGGGATAGCAGGGACCCTCCACTTCTCCACATGGTGTGCAGCCCCTGCTGCCAGCAGCAGCAGCAGCAGCAGGCGGGGGTGCTTGGGGCGCTCGTGCCCCACGTAGGCGCTGGCACCCGGCTCCAGCCAGCGCTGCAGTATCATGTGGCTCCTACAGCGCTGCATGTCGGGGCTTGCATGGTGTGCATGTAGCTCCCGCACTCGTGCAGCACCGGGGGAAGCTCTGTGCTGGATTCAGCTGCCTTCCTCACCCCCTGCCGTGGAAAACCCAGGACTCCACTGGAAGTGGAAGGGAGCGCCGGTCCCTGCTTCCACCCCCCCCAATCACACCCCCCCATATGCAATATACAGGAATAAGACTTTATTTTTGAGTTATTATGCAAGCCTTCCGTACACAGTACACAAACACAAATTATGACAAATATTTTTTGTTATAAAATTAAAATATGTTATAGTAGGATATTTGAATTTTAGCATAGGATTTATTTTTTTCTGGTTCCAAGTTGGCAACCCTCCCCTCCCAAAAGGAGCATTTGGAGGGAGTGAGGGAAGGGGAGGGACTTCCAATGCAAAGGTCAGGGGCTAGGGGGTGGGACTTCTGGTCCCAATATGGCAAACAGGGGGCGGGGCAACTGTCAAGGGGCAGGGCTACCCACGCAGCCCTTGACAGCTCAACAAAAGTCATGAAGCGGCCCTCCACCTAAAATAATTGCCCGGCTGTGCTCTAAACACATGAGCACATGCAGAGTCTTCAATACCTGTTACTATAATGCAAGTTCTACCTCTATACCCATTTTTTAAATGTAATTATAAAAGGTCCCTGCCCACTCACCAGGTGTTTGCAATATAGGGAATTAATGCACCTCCAACAGCACTTAACAGATGCCTGGTGGTGCAGCCAGAAAGGGTGACTTTCTGATTCAAACCACTGAATTCATGGCCCTTGCCCACAGCTGAACCACTCCACAATACTGTGAAGATACGCTACATATGATTGGCATATGGGTAGCCAATGCACTGGGGATGATCAGTGTTATGCACTTGCTGAATGACTTGGGCAGGCAAAATGAGAAAGAGGTCACATTGGAGGCTGGCTTTTATTTTGCCCAAGTTCATGGGTTGGCTTCTGACACTGGAAAGTCAGAAGCAAGTATGGTTCTGAAGAGCGGGGTACATAGAGTTAAAGAGCTCCACGTTTTCAAGCATTAGTCTCAATAAGCACTCTGCACTCGAGTGATGTTCTGACTTGTTTTTTCAAGATGCATTTCTCAGACCTTGCCTACAATAGGAAAATCCTGCTGAAATTTCTCACTGCTATTAATACCAGTTCAGTATATCAGTAAAGCTAGGAGTTTTACTCTATTTCAGGTTTTTCTGCTAAACACATTCTGATGCATGGGGAGTGTGGCAGAAAGCCACCTCTGTTTCTCCCCAAAAACTCTGCTCTGTGACAATTTGGTGAGGATGGGCCCGGCAGAGGATACACACATTACCCCATCCCGTTAGGTAACCTGAGCTGGATACATTCCTGAGGGAGGGGGGAAATCTGCTCCCTCTGCCTATGTGACTGGCATCACATACGTGGGTGAAAGGCTTGGGCTCCCTGGGGAGCTAGAGACTGCCAGTCTGCCCAGGAACTAGTGATGCATTTCAAATTGGTTGGCTGACAGCCAACAGGTGCTGGCCTCCCTTGGACCAGGTAAATGAGGTCATAAGGGCTATACAAGTTAAGAACTGCCCAGGAGGAGGGGCAGCAGCCATAAGGAAGACTCAGAGAGAGAGAAGAGCTGGACCATCTGAAACTTGCTCTCTCTCTCAAAACTCATGATCAAGGAACAGCCTGCCTCCAGAGGGAATTTCCACCTGCCTCGGGATGATACTTGTGAGTAAGCTACCTGAGATCTAACTAGATACATAGCTTGCAGTAACTCAGATGTGTGATCAAAGGCTACCCAGCCATGCCAGTTTGCTTTATGGGATTTCTCTGATATTGCTCTACCCAGTACCCTATTCCAACCCTAGCCCTTGCAACCAATAAAGTTCTCCTTTGTACCTAGCATGGGAGACTTACTGGGAGTGGGCCTAGATTATGCCTTGAGGTCCCCTTGGTTCGGCTGACTAAGGGCGACCACTACTTGTGCTCCTGACTGAGGGAAGCACCCCCAAGTGCTTGAAGTGAGTCAAGTACCCTCAAGGCCTACTAGGCCTGTGTTACCCAGGGGACGCAGATCCAGAAATCAAGCCCAGCCCTGGGTGGTGGCAGTTTTAACCTCAGGCTAGCGGGTGTGCTCCAGGAAGGCGGGGGTCGTCCAGACGTGAGGCGCCCCAGGGAGGCACTCGGAGCCTGGAGGGTGGTCAGGTGCAGTGAGGTGGGTGGCTCAATGCAGGAGCACCCCCTACTGGCCCGCCACGGGGAATACAAATAAGCCTGAGCAATGGGTTTCTGACTTTAGATGGCAATCAACATGACCACACAAAAAGAAAAACCGTACAAGATGTAAGCAACGCTGCACCTCCAAGACAGAGTCTTGAAGGCAATGGATAAAGGCGCCTGGGCAGACAGAGTGGTAGGTAAGCAGTATAAGAACATAAAAATGAATGAAGCACTTGCTTACAATCCTCTCCAGATCTTCCCATGCTGTGTTTATATTATTTCCTTTTAATACTACTGATTGATCTTTCCTGGGAGTTTTGATAGCACCCATCAACTTGGTATCTAAGTGATCAAAATTACTCAGGAAATCATTTGAGATAACACCTAAACATCCATCTTTAAGTGTCTGAATCACATGAAAAAGTCTTTACTGTCAATGTTGACAATATATTCCAGCTAGGTACCTAGCCTCAAGGGTGGGCCCTTCTGCAGGGAAATTAATTTTCTTCTCTGTCTACATAGGCAAGAAAAAAACTCTCTTATGCTCCATGTGTGGACTACAGTCATATAAATGAACTACTAGGGAAGAGTTAATTTACCATGTGAAGTCATGAACACACCTCATACACACATTTTTATATGCAACGTGCTGCTCACATGTACAAGAAGCATGTCTTGTACACATGGACGGGTAGGCCCTTGTTTCTGGGTT